TAAGTGCATAGACCAGGGGTGTCAAACTCAATATCATTGCGGGCTGCATCAGCATTATGGTTGCCCTGAAAGGGCCGGTTGTATCTGTAAGACTATATAAATGTATCTACTCTTTTTCATATTAAATAATTGCCTCTCCATTCGATTAATTCTGGGTTTAAGTGATGCGTTATTAACTAGCTCACACAGATTCAGTGCCAGGGCACACACACAGGGCAGACCCACACAAGTCTCAGGGCAGGTCACACAGACACGGTGTCAGGGTACACACACAGTCCGGGCAGATGCACACAAGTCTCAGGGCAGACACACATAGACATGGAGACATGGTGTCAGGGCAGATGCGCACATGCAGTGTCAGGACAAACACAATGTCATGGCAGACTCGCACATGCACAGACACACGCATTTTTCCTACATGAAATTAACTAATGTGCATGTGCCAGAGATCGTTGGTGATCTGAAAATGCAACCCTTCAACAGTGTAACCCATTCAATAGTGGTCACTGCAAAAGGACATCAGCCAGAGCCACACTAATATTTGTCCCTTCAATAGTTTTTGTTGTGAAGATTTGTTTGCTACCTAACAAAGTTTGTGTGATCTTTCCGAAAAATCGTGCTTTACGTTGCCCTAAGTAGCGTAAATTTAGATGTCATATAGACACCAGAGTCCTACAGTGTGGTGTAAAGCTGCTGAGTTCCAAAAAAGGGCTTTTTAGTAGATACATTGCTGAAGATACTAAAATAACTTATTTCAGGTTACAGAGCTGACTCTGAACCACAAGACTTTGAAATTACGACACTATGCTCCAGACTAGCCAGTGTAGATTTATATCATATAAAATCCATATGATGGTGTAAATCAGACTGTAGGCAGGAGCCATATAATTTGTTCTGCAGTTCCAGGAAACAGAATCTGTTTATGACCAATACAAATCTGACAGCACAGGTATAAAACGGGTACAGAGTACACTGCCAAAAAAGCAAAACAAAACATGCTGAGATATACAGGTATAAGTGTTGCTGTGAAGCATACAGGAAGGCACATAAATAATCACTTTGGAAGTTCTAAAGCAGACTTTTAAGAGACGATCCTATATTCTGTAGACAGTGGTAATTATAATAGAAATGTGGGCCCTTAAAAAATGGACATGCTTTTATTTCCTCTGCAGAAATGTTGGCTCCAAGATCAAAGTTATTACAATACTCGATGGCTACTGCTAGTGGATGAGTCATAATGTAACAAAGCTTTCTTTTACGCTGAATGGGCAGGCTAATCAGCACACTAATGTGTAAAAAAGGCTTCAAAAATGCACAAATACTTGGCAGAGATCCTGGAAATTAGTTGCAGATAATGGACAACCCGTTATTAAACCGTAACAATAAAATAAAAGACAATTCCATAATTATATGTGAAATTAAACTAAAATCAAGACATGGTGTGAATTCAATAAAAAGAATGAAGGGGTTAGTTAGAGAGAGCTCTCTCTCTCCCCTTCTCATTTTAGGGAGGTGCTCTCTGCCCCCCCCCCCCCATGAGGGGGGAGACAGAGAGACCCCCCTAAAATAATGGCAGATAGCAAGGATAGCTTCTTTGCTATCTGCTGGGTTTTTTTTTCTTTTCAATATTCTGACACCTGCTGCCGTCAGAATAATAAAAAAAACCCCACACACAACAGCATAGGAATGAATAGCTAGATTGCTATTTCAATTTGCAATAGCCAATTGCAAGCTGGCTATTGCACTCGCCCTCTGCTGCTGTCAATCAGCAGAGGAGGGAGAACCTGATGGAGAACTTCCAGTCTACCTCTGCTGATTGACAGCAGATATGAGTCAATCTTATCAACATCAGCATACATAAATAGATACTGTCCTGGTTTAGAGAGTAGGAAGTGATTCTATTGTGATGTCACTGACTTTGCCATGATTTCTTGCACCCTCCCCCCACTTGCCCTCTGCTCTTTTGTGGACTGCAATTGGTGAGGCAGCCTCTCTTCTGTTGTTTGGCAGTGTCTGGATACTCTGTTTTTTAACTTGACACTTGGCTTTGCACTTCCTGTTGCTTTCAACTCTTCTTTGATAAGTTACTAGCATTCTAGCAGCTTGGGGCTGCTCCTTTCCAGTGACTTCACCTTTTCCATGCATTGGAGAATGCTGCGATTAGTCACCATTTACTGATTCACACTGAACAGTAGGGCAGATTGTAAAATTGCTTGTCACACTGCATGATTATGCGTTTTACTGTCCTTGGACTATGCAAATGACTGCGTGAGTCACTCCTTTTTCCTTGTCAATGTGTTGCTGCATATTGCTTCTTTGTACATCTCATACAACAATATATGGACTACGTTCTACAATACCATAACACATACCAACTAGGACTAGGTCATATCCTTACTGTACTGCTACCTAATCTTTACAGTGATGTTTTTGGAGGAGTTCTCTCTCCAGCTCCTTCGCTCATTGGCTATGTGTCAAAGTTACAAAGCAAAGAATTTCATCTAGGAGAGTTTTTTTCCCCATTTGAATTTACTGCACAGCACACATCGACCAAAAATCATCTGTTTGCAGGTACTGTAAGTGTTCAGTTTTGCTTTGACAGCAATATTTTTACAGGTTTGTGATCATTAGCATTTCAAATGACCCAACACCTAGAACATCCTAGATCCTAGCCAGGACAGGACTGATTTCTAACAATGGGAGTTTTTCGTGTTGGGAACCAGTAGTTTAATGTATTTATCAAAATCAGCACATTGGCAACAATGGGAACAAATCACCAATTACACAGAACATTAACACATCAAATTACAGTATGTAGTTAACAATAACCCAAATGTATTTTAGAAACAATTTTCACAAGTGAAAAACTAAAATGTTTGTATATTTGGAAATTGCAGCAACTCTGCTCTCTATTGTGTCTACTGCTTCTTTACAAGATTACTGTGAGCTGCTTGTGCACACCTCTGCTTTTAGCAGATGTAAACAGATTTGTTACAGTTCATTGAACAATGATTCATTTCTCCTAAAAAATATATAACAATCAATTATCTTACCCTGCATGCCTTTGGTGTGTCAGAGTAAAGCAAATAAATTGTGAAAAAGAAATGATTGCTTATTCTACAGATATTCTAAAATGGCCTGGAAAAAATTGTTGGTATCCCTAGAAAAGATAAAAGATGTCTAATGAGACCAGCAAGAAAATTATAGATCAGCATGTCAAAAGGTAAAAGGCTAGAATGCCATCTGCAAGCAGCTTGATGTTCCTGTTACTACAGTTGTAAATATTAAGATGTTTAAGGTCCATGGGTGTGGTGACAAGTGGAAAATGTTCATCCCTGGATGGGGCCACAAGTGGAAAATCTATCCCAAAACTTCCAAAGAGATACAAGCTGAACTCCAAGGTCAAGGTACATCAGTGTCTGATGGCACCATCCAACACTTTTTGAGTATTATTGTGCTCAAAGGAAGATTCCACTGTTAAAAGAAAAACCTAAAAAAGCCAGACTGGAGTTTGCTAAAATGCATATTGATTAACCCCATTTTTTCTGGAAGAATGTCCTTTCGACAGATAAGATAAAGCTTGAGCATTTGACAACTCATATCATGTTCACAGGTGAAAAATGAAGCAATGAAAGAAAGCTTTGCTACATCTGGTATGGGGTGTCTTGAGTCTGTACAGGGCGCAATGAAATCTCAAGACTATCAAGTAAATCTCGAGTGAAACCTACTACCCAGTGTCAGATAGTGTCTAAGCTCTTTCTCAGTGACGGGTCAAGGGACTTCCAACAGGATAATTACCAAAACCAGACTGCTGAAAGCACTCTAAATGACTCGAAACAAAAACATAGGACTGTTCTGAAGTGGCCTTCTACGAATATAAATACCATCAAACATCTATGGAAAGAGCTGAAACATGCACACTGGAGAAGGTACCCTTCAAACCTGAGACACCTGCCGCAGCTTTTTTAAGCAGAGTGGGTCAAACTTCATGTTGGTAGGTGCAGAAGCCTAACTGAGAGGTACACAAATTGCTTGCTTGCAGTGATTGACTCTAAAGGTTGTGAAACAAAATAGTTGGTTCAGGGTCCCACATTGTTTCCAAACAATTTCATTTGTTTTATTATTTAAAATACGTTCTTGAATCAAAAGCAAAGTCTGATTTTTATTAAATATTGTCACAACCTTTATACATTACCCAGAAAGGAGAAGGCATAGGTTTGTTAGTATTAATATAAAATAATTCAGTTGTACAACCCTGTGTTGTCTGGTTCCAGTCAGTGCATGTAGATGGAGATCAGAAGGAGCAGCCCCAGCATTACTGAACTCATTAGAAAATATAACTGCTGTTTTACATGTAGCTTTGAAGTCAAAGCAAATGCCTTATCTAAAAGTTGTGTGCTTTGTTATAAAAAAAATACTTTCAAAAAGTAAAATTAAAATTACCCACCCAATGACCACTGATTTCAAACATTCATTAGTTCTTGACTTGACTTGACAATAACCAACCTTTGTATGCTTATGAAATATCTTTGAATAAAAGTCAGACACACTGACCCTATCTTTGTGTGTATTGCGCCACTGGCCAATTGTGTCAGTTGTCCTGCACACTTTCCTTGCAAGTTTCAAAAGTTTGGCAGGGTTTTAAAATTTCTGAACAATGAAGGTGGTCAAATCAGAGCATGAACATACACAGCAGCCTTGTGGTGCTTGCTGGCCTTCCTGGAATGGTAGGTGGTAAACGATTCAAACAAGAAACACAAAAAAAGTGTAAAAAAAAGGGACATTTATTTGTATTAATTGCACTAGAAAGATCTCCTTTCAAGAGACCCAGTATATCCCGTAAAAATGTATTCCCTGAGGCTAGAACGGAAACAGGCATCAGTAATGCAAATGTTACCAATCAGGACGTCCTTGTGGGTGAAGGCATAATTTAGAAGGTCTTTTCTCATTACATAGCAGATCATAAAATACCCTTTGGATGAACATTGGAGACAGGCTCTTTAAGGACCTTGGCTGTAAAACTCATTCACAGATCACTCTTCAGCGATGGATATATACTCCATTCTCAGGATCCTGAGCTCAAACGTTTTATCACAAACTGAAGGATAAGGACAACACCCAACGCCATCAGAACGTATTTGACACTGTTATTTGTCAGTTTAAGTACAGCAGCCTGATAAAGATACAAAGCGAAACTTGGATCAGAAATGAGGTAACATACATATTATTCTAAGCAGGGTATTTGATAATTAAAAAAACTTTACATATTTAGTTGCTCAGAAAATATACTATTTAACCCTTATATCAATTTATCAAATATAGGGAACACATTATTTATACACACTTAAACAAAATGATCAGAAATGACAGTATATTATTGAGTGAGTGTTCCTATGTATGCCAATAAAGGGGGGAGCAGCAATGCATTGAATGAGGAAGCAACAGGAATTGGGAAGCTATTTTTATCTCAGGTATAAGCAGCAGAAACTGGGACAGGTTTTCTGACCTGCCTGTCTGATGCTGCCCCCTCCCCATCTTGGCTAGCTACCCTCTAAATCATTACACAGAAAAGAGACTGCCACCCAAACCAGATAAAAATACCTAGATTGAGATGTTGTCATCTCATATGGAAACATATATTTTTTTCTCAAAAATCTGTGTCCCTGTGTTAAGAGTGTCTGTGTTAATCTGTGTTAAGAATTCCACTGTTGCTGAAAAGTGCTGCTAAAAAATAATTGAACCTCCTGTTGAGCCGGGCCCCTTACATGTTTACAATATATTTTTAAAATACAAACATGCATATCTATACAACGGGAAAAAAAGATCTTACAATATCAGGATTATTACCTAACATCTGGAGTGACCTTCACGAGTACATAAAGGTTCTCACAAATAGTAACTCTAGCAATACTTGACACATGCCTCACCTCAGCTTAAAGCTGAACTCTGGGATAAATAAGTACCGTTTACTTGATTTATGGTGTGATTTTTATGGTCCCTCCCAGAGCTCTGTTCTCTGCAAAGGCTATGTGCAGCACTTTAATGATGTCAACAGTATGTTCACAAGGTACTAACTAGATTTGCGAAAGCATTTGATGCACACGAAATGGATTTATATCTTTTGAAACAGGAATATGTTTAAATTAAAGTTTTGTTACCAGAGTCCAGCTTTAAGCACCAAACCATACGATAGATATAGTTTAGCAAGTTATCTTTGATTAAGTTACCTTAGATAAACTTTTTTTCCTATGTTTTTGCAAAAATGGAATACGACCAGTTACATAAAACAGTACCCTGCATTTTTCAACATGTCCAGCATTTGTGAATCTACTTAGATTTCAGTATTTTATGGTGACAAGGATCTGTCCCTCATATCCTAATCTTGGGATATATGACCAGCCTAATACTATGTTATATAGTATATGTTGTAGCAATGCAAGTCAGCTATGCAATAATTGTATGTTGTACTCACTACAAAATCCTTTTCTTGTAGTTCATTTGGGGGCACAGGTTTCAGAGACAATTGGGTTATTCTTTTGCCTACAGGAGGATTGGGATCGTAGGATAGAGGATCTGAGAGAGATGATGGAACAAGAAGTTGGTTTTCCTTGGGACCATCGGAAATTATAAAATGAGAGACAGTCTTCTAATGGAAGCAGTGGCTGTGAGGTAGTCATGCACAGTTTGAACTATATACAGACAATGAAAAAATATATATTTTTCATTCTGATGTACTGGTGTTGTACAAAGGGACAGAAGCATAATGTCCCAGTTGTAGTAAAAGATACATTCAGATGGTGGTGATTACCTCTTTTGGTTTGGGAACTGTGAAAAGGTTGGAATAAAATGCCTGTACCCTTCACACCACAGGAACTTGGGGGACAACCATGAAAACCCTGAAAGGTTGTCTGAAGGTTGATTATCTGTGCAGTGACACAAAGTTTGGAAGACATGAACTGCAGAGGGGGCTGAGAACAGAATATTTTGTAGCTCCTAGAAATCTTCTCCTGTACCCATATCTAAAATACTGTTTATCCAGGTGTCTGCAAAGGTTTCCCACCAGCTTCTGGCCTTGATTTCTTCATATGGGTTAGATCAGTACTTTTATTCCTAGTGAAATCCTTGATAAGGGTGTCCAAAGCAGTTCCAAGGAGATGTTGTCCCTCAAACTGCATGTAGAGCAACAACCTTTTACATGCCACAGCCCAACATTTCAACCAGAATTCTCTGCACATTCACTGATAGGCGGCATCCACTAACCCATCTACACAGTAGTGCAGGGCTGCCAGCATGAACTCTAAGTGCTCCACAAATAAAGCTTCAGAGTGGAAGGAAGCTGTGAGCATTCTCATGGGTTTAATCCATTCTCCTAGTCTGAAAGACAAGCATCACAACCAGAGCAAGTTGCAAAGCAGGGCCTCCCTGTGAAAACAAGGATTTGAAAAATTTTCTCCAAATGTTTATCTATGGGATCTTTCTAAACAAAGGGGCAGTTCACTGTCCTTAGGACTGTAGGGGGGCCAGACTGTGGCTAGTGGGGTTAGAAAATGCCTCAGCAACAGTAGGAATAAGCAATGCCCCAGGCTCAGAGGTAGGTTGGAGTAAAAAAAAATGACCTAGCACCTGTGGTCAGTGCAGGTAGGAATAATGACCCATTGTTAGTGTAATTTGAAGGAATAGAGCCCCTTTATTGGAATCAGTGGAAGGAATAGTGTCCTATCAATTAGTATTATTGTTGGTGTCAGTGGGAAAAATGGTGCCACATTGTTTGTGTCAGTGGAAAGAATATTGCCCCAGGGGCCAGGGCAAGCAAACAGCTGCAGTTTGGAGACCACTACTCTACAGGAATCATCAGGATTTTATTAAGATGGGACACTGCTTTTGCCTTCCTCTGGATCAACAGTGGGTAACTGCGGGCATAGTTTTTTTTGGCATTTCTTTTTTTTCCTCATCTCTATAGGGTGAACTCGATGGACTTGTGTCTTTTTTTTTAACCTGACTAACTATGTAACTGCTCCACTTCTTGATAAAGAACTCCTCAAATGGGTATTGGGACTCAAAACACTTGGGAGGTGTAAACAATTTACCAGGACTTTCCAAGCCCGCGAACAGGATGTCTCGGAGTAGCTAGTGCATGGGAAAAGTTTTAGTTTTCTTAGGGCCTAGTAAGGTAGCAGCAATGGTGGAAGCTACAGGCTGTTCCTCCATCGTTATGTTGGTATGCACTGCGTCAATAAGAGCTAGAATGATCTCTCTAAGCCTGGGAGTTATAGCGGCTGCCTGCGACTCTTTATAGACAATATTATCAGCAAGAATGTTTGAGACTTATCATTAGATAGAGCCCAAACAGCTGAAGGCTCAGAGGCCTCAAAGCCCAGAGGTAGATCAGGTAATGGTTCTGTATGGAAAGGTGTTCAGCTACTCTTACGGCCTCTGCAGTCAAAATTTAAATTTGGCCAGTGAAATCCTGCATTACTATGTTGAAAACCTAGGAGGGGGCCACACCCAATGGAGCTGAGGAAGCGTCAGGTAAAACCAGTACCTTTGAACCAGCTGCCAGTAGCAGGAGAGGTTCAATGGCTGGATGTGACTAGGTCACTCTAGGCAGCAGCAAAGACTAATTGAGGTGAAACTTGCAATTAGGAGCAGATGTGGGAAGGTGATACCTCACACTTAATGGAGGGAAAAAAAGTGTGGCATGTGCACGAACACAACACTCCACCTACTGACGCAGCACTCAGTACCCTTAGTGTTACAATCCTTTCCGTGCAAAAACCAACAGAAAAATAGCAAAAATAATGGTGCCTAATGGTTCTAAAAAAAGAAAAATAGCTCCCAATGCTTGGCCCACACAGACTACTTTTTAAATGAGTCTTCAGAGACAGGGTCACAAGAGAGGCTGTGCCAATTCTCTGGATCTTGAAAGTTCTCCGCAACTAACACAGTACACAAAATTCTGGAAAGTGTCAATGTGAAACCCAGTCCCCAAAGGTCAAATTCCAGACAGGCCACACAATTGTCCAGTACAGCAGGGTCTGGAAACAGAATCTAAAACTGTTGCTGAGGATAAGCTGATCCAGGCAGCTGCATAAAGAGATAAGTTCAAACAGCTTGTAAATCAAATCTTGATTGATGATAAAAAATAATCTTAAATAATACAAAAAAATAGCCCTTAAAAATGTTTACATTTTTTCTTCAGTAGAGAAAAGATGTCTATCCCTCAAGGACACTATTTTTTATGTTTTTAGTTTTCTAAAATGTCAAAGGCACAATATGTCACATGTAACTAATATATGCTAATGACCACAGGCTGTATAACTGGTAAACTGCATGTGTGCAGAATCTTAAATGAGAACTATGAGGTGAGTGCTTTTCACTCACCTCATAGTTCTAGCCGACGTGTGACAATGAGACTGTCACAGGTCGGCTCAGTAGATCGGGAGGTGAGCAAACACATACCGGGTTCGCTCACCTCTCGATCCTGTCACGGCTTTCTGCCATGACAGGGGGAGGGGCTGGATTCCCCTCTCCCCGCTCCGATCTGCCAGCGTTGACTGGCGGAACGGACGGGGGAGGGGGCGGGTACAGCTGGCTCTGCCTCTAGATAGGCAGAGCCAGCTGTCACTCACGCAGCTGGGCGGATACCGTCGTCTAAGTCAGGATCCACTGCGGCGTCTCAGTATACCGTGAGCTTAGGGTCACGGGAAGGACGCTAGTTTGTGTCCTCCCGTTACCCTAAGGAGAACTATGTAGAAAAACACTGACCCCATAGTTCTCCTTTAATATCCAGATATACAGCACAAGAGCAGTTTGCACAGAAAAAAACTAAAATTTTCTTGAATATTAAACTCCATTTTGAAGTTTCTCACCCTTATATATGAAAGAACGGTATAATTGAATGAAGTAATGCAGATACTGTTTAAAATGTCTTTGCTGTTCACTTACCCATCCGCCTTGTCCTACAATCCACCGAACAATTCTACTCTCCACCAGGTATCTAGCAAGCCACTGAGCAATTGTTCTAAGAAATTGATGCCGTCCATTTTTCCAAACATAGACAGCTAATCGATATCCAAAGCCAAGGAGTGCTAGAACACGTCCCCAGTTTACCCCAGTTTCAAAAACACTGTAACAAGACCAGAAAAAATGTTTTACATTTCTAAATTTAAAAAAAACTGAGAAAAAACAGGGTAAGAAAAAAAAGACAAATAAGCAAAAAGTAAAACAAAAAATAGAAATCAACAAGAATGCATAATTTAAAAAAAAACTATTAAATAAAGCAACAAGTCAGTAATATATATTTTGTAAAACTACACATTTTAGGGCTAGAGGCGTTTATATTTTTTATATTATTTTTATATAACAAAAAGCTGCAGATTCTGCTCTAGCAACTCCTCCACCCTCAAACACAAAGACGTGAGAATATGGTGATTTAGAGTGCATGTGCCCTTTTTTAAATTATTAAACGTACATATTGCAAACCTTTTCAAATCAAAAAGGGTTTAGTGCACTGATACCCCATTTAGTGACTCAATCAAAATAAATGGTGCTAGCATTTAGCATGTGTGCCTTTTTTACTGCCAACAAGAAGACTTCTATTGTCGCTTACAGTGTGAAATATATCCTATATTCTACATGATAAATGCTTCAATAAAAAGCATTTACATATCCACTGATTAATACTTACACATTTCCTAATTGCTTCTTTAATTTTTGAATCAACACATTGTATCCACTTGTAGATTGCCATTCTAGTGTGTCTTCTTTTCAAACATTACTTACAGGGAAAGTTCCCTCTGGCTTTCATATAAATCAGCTTCAATCCCGTAACCCTTTATCTGGCTCTCTGCACAGCATGAAAATCAGCAAAATGTGGCACCAGCATTTTCTCATTTAATTCTGACGTGACGCTCAATGATACCCCCCTGCTGATTACATAAAGTGTATAATCCTAACTTTCGGAGGTCCTAGCTTACATCCTACCTAACGATTAAAGCTGGGAGTCTTACATTATTTGGAAATCAGGGTAATATACGTTATTAAAGAATTTTGGAACAATTTGGTTTTTAACTGTTAACAGATGTCAGGTTTAATAAATGCTAGATGCAATATTAAATAATCATGCCTGTATTTTAAATGCAAAGAAAGAAGCCGCAAGAGCATATTTATAGATCTGGCAGAAAGGAAAAATGAAATTACAGATTTCAAAGAGATAGCAAAGCATTTAGATAGTGAAACCACATTTAATGCAAAATTACCTGAAAATGCAGAAAAAGGTCTAGCCCGTAAAGAGGGCTGGGACGCAGGAGAGAGAATAAAGAAAGTTAAACCACAAAGTCAATTTTTATCATAAAAACGATATATACCAATGAACAAATAAATGCACTAGGCTCCTCTCTGATTCCTGTGCCAAAGGAGAAAGTTCAGAACCTGATGTAAGTAACATGCCTGAAATGTAGACTATCTGCTTTGCCAGGGTAACTAACTTTCTTCTTTCTGTCAGTATTCTTATTAGTGTCTAACCTGCATTACAAACAGACTACAGCTGAAATCAGATTAGTTGTACATATAACTCAGTTGATAAACCTTTTGGGCTCATTCAATTCAATTGCAAATCCCATTTAATCTTCTTTGGCTAGTTCACATCTATGCCTAGCTATGAGTTCACATCATAAGCATAAAACAATAGACAACATAAGAAACACCCGAGTGACTTTTAAAAAACAAAACAAAAACAAAAAACAGCTCATGTAGGGTTTTTAAGAGTCAAGAGGGCCCACTGAAACCAATGGTAAATGCAATAAAAGGCATGCATTTTTAAAAATGGTTTAGACAAATATGAAGTGCATTCAAAAGTGTGTGTGCACTTCATATAAGCATGGTTCAATAAAGTACATTGTACTTAAAAGTGCAGTTAAGATGGCCATACAATGGTCAAATTTTGTTGACTTACAATAGCAAAGAGGTGGCACAGTGCCTTGATGTCATAGGTTTTCTCTTTAGTTTGTTAGTTTGTTTTAGTTTGTTGAAGGGGTGTTGTGGTAATGTGATTAATCTGTATGTGTATGAGTGGATGTGTTGTGTGTACATTGAAATGAGGAGGTGAATGGGAAATGTATAGATGTGGCATGTTGGAGGGTGAGATTGTATGAGTTATTTGAGTGAGGGTAGCAATGTCCCTAAAAAATGAAAGGGAGTGGCGACAGGAGGCAAAGAGGGAGTTGGGTTCAAGGTATGGAATACATTTTTGACATTTGTCAGCACTATGGAAAATCTGTGTACTAATGTTTGTCCCTGACTTTGCGTAAGACATGTACAAAATAGCATTTTTAAAATCTATGTATATATAGATGCTTAAAGTGTATGTAAATCTTAACAGTTGACTTCTCTTATCAGCTCCTTTCTGGTCTTAACTCCACTCGCTCCCTCGTCTACGCCCCCATCTTATCCCCAGCTTCTTCTGGGTGTTGGGTCTCCGACCGTTTTTATTTGCGGGGTATAAATGAACTCCCATACATGCTCACGAGAGTTCATTCTTCCGGGCACAAAAGTGTGCAGAGAATGTACACTGAGCCACGCATTCTGAAGAAGATTGCGAACAGGCAGGTACGTTTGTTTTATTGCAGTAAGGCATAGCATGTCTCTTCTACAATAAAGTGCCTTTCTGCTCACAATATAAAAAAACTATAGAAAAAAATTCAAAGGTAAAAATAAAGGGGGGAAAAAACCTCCAAAAGAAAAACAAATGCAGCCATCACATCTTAGCATTGGTAAGCTGCAAAATTTTTCTTGGGTTTAGGTACACTTTAAAAAGCACAAAAATGCACATAAATGCATGCAGTAACAAACATCAAAAATGTATATATCACTGTATAGGCATGTGTGTGAAAAGGTCCTTTAGAAATGAAACCCATTGGTTGATGTGGTCCAAGAAATGCTTTTGCTGAAAAGTTCCCCATAGTTCTCTTTAGGGTCACAGGAGGACATATACAAAACTCAGCAAATAGTGGGCTTTTGCCCGCTAAATGCTGGGAGCATCGCAGTCGGGACAGATCCTGACAATATTGTCAAAATCCACCCCACTGGCTATTTGACAGCGGGCTCTACTTATCTAGAGGCGGAGCCAGCTATGCTTGCCCCTTCCCTCATCCATCCCTCCAGTCAGTGCTGAAGGATCGGGGGGGGACGACGACAGTCACCACTCTCTGTAGGGAGATGATAGGAAAGTGAGTGAGCGGCGGCATGTTTTGCGCTCACTTCCCGATCAATAGAGCCGATATGCGAGTTTGAAACTCACACATCGGCTCTAACTATGGGTATGAGTGTAATTCACTTACCCCATAGTTCTCCTTTAATTCTTTAGTAAAGCAAAGAAAAGAGCAATGACAAAGTGCAGTAACCAGTAGCAGGAAATTAAGCTGCCCATACACTATACGTTGTATTTCAGTTTAATGCAGTCAGATCAGTGGAAGAATAATTTCACTGGTTTCCATGAGTTACTGTCATTGTACATTTTGCTTTGCCTATGGAATATGCTCCATAGTAATAGAAACACTGTAACCATTTCATTATTTGTTACGGATTTTAATCATGTACCTTTTTTGTGCATAAGCATCAGTTTATTCTTACTAGAATAAATTATTTCCGCTGGTATTATTTAAAATACAATTCTGTATTTACAATTGTGAGGATTAAGACAGTTGGGTCTCACTTTATTATGTGGGTTGACTGGATTCCACAGTGTCAAATTATAAGTATCAATCATGTGCTAACAAAAGCATATTTTTTGGAAAGAAAAATATATTATTTGCTTGCTCATGATTAACACAACGTCACCTTATTTACTACCATTCAGTTTTAAAAGTTGACAATCTCTACTACTTTAGAAAATCAATGTCAAGGGCTACATCAACTAGAGCAGGGGTTTGCAGTTCCAGGGTTATTCAGGCAATGGCAAGACAATACATCAACTTAAGGCTGAAGTACTTTTTTTGGGGGGGGGTGAATGTGAAATGTAAAGCAAAAAAAACGGTCTTGGAAGCTGGCTTGTTCTTGTTTGGTTATTGTACATCTATACCCAAAGTCAACAATGGAATATACTGCAGCTTGACAGTATTTAGCTGTGATGGCTAACATTCATTTTTTTTTCAGGCTTTTTTTCTTTATTTTCTTCTTGTGATGCTGGCAGTAACACATTCTCATCCTAGACTGACAACGCTTACTCCCTGATGAGAATATTTCAGAGGTGCTGGGTGGAGTCTCGTGCTATTCTTTATGATAGACCCTACTGGATTAGTAGGCAGCTCATTAGCTTATGGTTAGGCAGCTCAAAGATGCAGTCTCCAGTAGGAGGTACTGGGAGCAACTCAAGGACAGAAAACAGAAGAGTGCCAGACCAAAACGGATGTTAAGGTCCATATAAAAAGTTTAATAATTGTGTTGATCAAACAGCCAACACATTTTGAGAGCACACATCAGGGCTTGGAAATGATGAGAATGAAGGAATGGACTCGGAGCAAAAAACAACAACTTATTGGAGCTATGGGTAGTGCTATCAAAATTTGTAGACTGCAGGCAGTGTCTGGAGAATCAACTGCAATAAAATGTTATAGTGTTGGCAGCCTTCGCTGGCAGGATCACTAGGTAGAATATATTAATGTTTATGAAATGATGAACTCTTTAGTGTAGTATGCATTATTTTTAAATGATGTTTGCATTGTATGTTTTGTCATTTGGGTATATTTGTACTTTATGATAAAGTGACTTATTATATTTTAAGCCAAAAATTCATTATTAGCAGGGGTTGACTTTCTAAAAATGTTTTTATGTGGGGGGCCTTGGAGTTCTGGAAACAGTCTAATCTGTGGTATTGAAAATATGTTATTAAAAAAACTGAAATGACTGCTAAAGCATTAGCAAGAGTGGTGCCAGCTATACAATATGAAGCTATAGTTCTTGGTTTTCTTTGTTTGCTTTCTTGGAACAACACATTTACTGTAAATGTTAGATTTGAAGGAGCTGCATATTTGTTTCAGAATATGTCATATTTGTAGAAAATAGAAGAAAATAGTACCATTTCTACCAGCCTTTGTATATTCACAATGTGCAGAGAGGGTACGCGCCTGGGGCTTAGGCTGCCACCCACCACTGAGTAGAAGAGGAATCAGAAGGAACTATGTGTTATTCTTGTGGTTGCATTGGCTTCCAGAGCCTATCGATGTGAGAGGTAGTTACAGTAGTCCTCATCATACACATAATACTGGGAGCTCAAATCTGTTTGGAGAAGACAGATCTATCTCACATCCAGCTCTGATACAGGTACACATATTTTGTGGGGAGTTATAACCTTTAAGCTTGTATACTTATTATTGGTGACTTCTCTTCAATAAAACGCTACAGAAGTGTACTCAAGCCAAAATTAATAATAGGTCCTGAAATGCATACAAGGAACACAACTGTTCAGTGTCTGTGAAGGTTCTCATTCATCCAGGTCATGGTATATCTGTAAAAAATAAGTCAAGGCAACTGGACTTGCTGTATTTCTTAAGAAAAATACAGCAAGCCCAGTTGCCTTGACTTATTTTTACAGATACAACTGTTCAGTGCTTTAACTTTATACTTAGGCACAGCTGTAGCACACCTAGTTCAACCACAAACTTTTATTGGTGATCTGGGAACCCCGTTGCTTATCCATGTGTAATGCAGGAGACGTATTCCCAAACATACCCACTACAGGGTCCTTTCTGTCTCTTACACACAGAAAGCCTGATATATCAAAGTCTGAGAGGAGTAACTTCAGCACTGCTACCAATTAATTCAGCCTTGTGCTGGAAGTTTAAATCGGATTGGTGATACATCAAGGAGAGAGAAAGGGGAAGTTACATAGCCAGTGGAACATCCATAGGGTAAACGGAGTGGACTTTCTGGAGCCTATTTATAAAAATGCATTCAAATCCTGACTTTGTATTATGCTGCACTTTACATTTTCCATATTACTTTACTTGCCAGTTTTTATATCACGTATGGTTAAATGGCATACAAAAGTTGTAACAAGTGGTGAAATTATACTACTTTCAGTTTTACCTTCATTAAAGCTGAACTTCAGGCAGATATTAAAACACCAAAAACACACAATCATGCATTTAACAAAATCGTGAAATGTATTTTGCTTAATGCAACTAGTAAAAAACCTGAATTTGACTTAATTTTCGTCTGCTGTGATACCCTGTACAGCAGCACTGGAAGAAGGAAGGGTAACACAAGGGATCAACTGGAAGTCCTGAATTCACATGTGCTGATATGGAAGATGCTGACAGAATAAGAGTAGTGTAGGGAGATGACCTCATCAGTCTGTTGCTACTCCATCACTGTCCAAACACAGGGTGTCCTAACTTTGTTAGGTTCGAACTTTGGTCTGTTAAATATATCATATATATTTCTTATATCTCTGTTATAAGTGCAAAATTAACTCTGTTAATCCTGTGAGAAATTCAGAGTTGTCTTGTGTACTCTGCCTATGTTCAGCTTTTTTTCTTTGGAGTTTAGCTTTAAATATAATGCATTACAACATTATTATTTAGAAATGGATAATGAATTTACAGCACTATTAAGGTGAGTAATGATTTTACCTTTTTTACAAATATAGCAAAGTAAATCTTCCATAAACATTTTTCATGCTTGAGGAGCAAGCAAATTAAAAGACCATTTACACTTGAAAGAAAAAAAAAAAAAAAAAAAAGAACATTTACGATACATGAGTGGTTAACCATTTTAGAACAGTTTTATAAATAGATCAGATCCCAGTTGCAGTGTATGCTGGATAAAAAGTATAATTTCTCCTGCTTCACGTTTTCTGGAATTGCTTTAATAAAAGGTCAAACAGTGTCACATCCATGCACATCACTTGATTATACCAGCTATGGTAACCAGATGCATCTAAGCAATATCCAACACTTTGTTAATCAGTCATACAAGGAACCATGATAATATATTCTAACTTAAATGGAAATAAACCATGTTTAAATGTAGGAATCACATAATGTAAAATATAATAAAGCTAGATAACAGTTCTTTTTTGTCAGTACCTGGAAGCAATCTTTTTGAAGTAGTCATAAGCATTATCCAAGTTAGGATTCAGGTTGTTCAGAAAGCCATCAAATAATTCCTCATAACGCTTATTCAAGTCATCTCCAATCAATGCCAGCTGTTGTCCCACTTTGTCTATATGGCTATGGAAAGACAGAGATTACTTTTGGGTTAAAAAAAAAAGTGTTATCTTCATTTTACTATGCAGGAAAAAACAGCCAAGTCATTCAGATCCAAGGGTTAAATATACAGTAATATCAAGCTTTTCATTCCATAAAATCCAGTTTAGAGCTTTCTAAAAACTTTATCCTAGAAAATATGTGGGGGTTGGTTGGTTAAAACTGGAAAAAATGGAGAACACTGGGGTTGTTACCAATAGCAACCAATGAGGTTTCAGCTTTAATCTTTTCTTTCTCTAGTTTTAATTAACCAACCCTTAAGCTGGCCATACATGATACGAATTTTGGCTGGTTCTTGATGAACCAGCTGAACTTTGCAGTAGGTGCCGCTGCTGGCACCCTTTTGTCAGCCATCCCTCAATCAGCTAATCGAAGTAGCTGGTTGGGAAAATCCTTGAACGAACAGAGCCAGTGTTGTAAAACTTCTCTGGACCCATGAGATTTCTGGACTTCTGGGGGCGTGTGAAGGGAGTCCAGAAATCTCACAGGCTGATGCATTCTTATAACACAATCCATAGTTACATAATTAGTCAGGTTGAAAAAAGACACAAGTCCATCAAGTTCAACCTATAGAGATATGAAAGAAAAAAAACCAAAGCCTAAATAGAACGCTATGCCCACAATTACCCCCTGTTGATCCAGAGGAAGGCAAAAAAACCCTATAAAGCACAGTTCAATTTGCTCCAACAGGGGGAAAAAATTCCTTCCTGATCCCATAAGGCAATCAGATATTCCCTGGATCAACAATCTTTGATGCCTAATATACCTATAAGAACTCAATATCCAGTAAAATTCTGTGCATTTAGGAATACATCCAGATTTTTTTTAATCAATTAACTGAGCTAGCTAGAACTAGCTCCTGGGGGAGTCTATTCCACATTTTCACAGCTCTAACTGTGAAGAATCCTTTCCGTATGCAAAGGTTAAACTTATTTTCCTCCAGATGCAAAGAGTGCCCCTTTGTCCTTTGTAGTGACCTTAAAGTGAATAATTTGGCAACAAGCTCTTTATATGGACCATTTATGTATTTATACATGGTGATCCTGTCCCCCCTTAATCTCCTCTTCTCCAGAGAGAACAAATTCAGGTAAGCTAATCTTTCCTCATAGCTGAGCTCCTCCATGCCTCTTATGAGTTTAGTTGCCCTTCTCTGCACTTTCTCCAGTTCCACAACTTCCTTTTTGTGATCTGGTGCCCAAAACTGAACTGCATATTCCAGATGAGGTCTTACTAATGCTTTGTACAGGGGCAGGATTATGTCTATCTCTGGAGTCTAGACCTCTTTTAATACAAGAAAGTATTTTGTTTGCTTTAGAAACTGCGGCTTGACATTGCATGCTATTATCGAGTCTATGGTCTTCCATAACACCTAGATCTTTCTCCATCATTGACTCCCCCAAATATACTCCACCTATAGTGTATGATGCACTCTAGGGGGTCCAGACATTTTACTGCCTTTATTGTTCTATATTATTTAGATTTTATTACTATTTTTTTAAATTAACATTATATGCCAAGACATGTGGCTGTAAAATGTTTGGACCCGTGGGATTGTGTTATAACAATGGAACCGCTCGATCATCAAAGGCCCGTCATCACGCACATTGTCTACAAGACAATTACATGGGTCAAATATGGTGGAAACACCAACTAGAGATAATGCTCTACTGGACTTACTAATTGCTAATAATAAAGAGCTAATAACAGATCTGGATGAAAAGGACAACTTGGGTAAGAGTGATATAATCAGATTACTGTCCTTTTGGGGGAACAGAAAAGGGTAGGAACAAAAGAGAGCACTAAAATTAAAAAAGGCAAACTTTAGCAAACTGCGATCCTTATTAAACTAGATCGATTGAGATGTAATCTTCCAAACAATGGAAATGGAGGACAAATGGGAATGGTATAAGGCCATATTAAATAACAATGTTCGCCAATGTATACCACTAACTAGCAAATTTAAAAGGCAAAAGAGTTAAACCAGGGTGGATGCATTCTAGAGAAGATTAAAAAAGAAAAAGATTAATAAATGAGAAAAAAAACTTGGCCTTTAAAATGTATAAGATAGAAGGGTCATCAAATGCATTCAAGTACTACAAGGATTGTACCAAGAAATGCATACATGCTATTAGGGCAGCAAAAATAAGCTATGAAGAACAAATAGCTATAGAGAGTAAAAGTAATCCCAGAAATTCTATAAATACATAAATAGTAAAAAGGTAAAGACAGATCACATAGGCCCATAAAGGACCAGCAGGGTAAGCTGGCCACAAGTGACAAGGAGAAGGCAGAGGAATTGAATACTTTCTTCTCTTCTGTTTTTACTGATGAACGGGATTGGTATGATAAACAAAGTAAAAACTATTCTAATAATGGACTAGACAAAGCCCAGTGGCTAACTGAGGCAGAGGTAAGAAAGAGGCTTGAAAAGCTAAACACAAATAAATCTCCGGGACCAGATGGCTTGCATCCAAGGGTCCTCAGAGAACTGAGTCTGGTTATTGCCAGCAAATTGTTTTTAACGACACATTGAGGACGGGAGAGGTACCAGAGGACTGAAGGAAAGCGAATGTGGTGCTGATATTCAAGAAAGGTTCAAGATGTGTATCAGGTAACTACAGGCCAGTCAGTCTTACATGAGTAATATGCAAGGTTTTTGAGGGAATGGTCAGGGACTATATTGAAAAGTTTGCATGTGTGAATAGCACCATAAGCAAGAACCAACACGGATTTCTGAAAGGCTGTTCTTGCCAGACAAATCTGTTAACATTCTATGAGGAAGTAAGTTGTAATGTGGACAGTTGATTTAGTCTTTCTGGACTTTGCAAAGGCGTTTGACACAGTACCACACAAATGGTTAGTATACAAACTAAGGCGATGGGCAATGAAGAACCAATATGCACACGGGTAGAAAACTGGTGGCAGGACTGCATCCAGAGGGTAGGGTTAAATGGTACATTCTCAAAATGGTCCGAAGTGGTGAGTGAAGTGCCCCAGGGTTCAGTTTTGGGGACAATTCTGTTTATCTTGTTCATAAATGACATTGAGGTTAGAATAAATAGCTCACTGTCAGTGTTTGCTGACTATACAAAGTTCTGCAAGGAAGTAAGATCGCAACTTGACATAGAATCCTTGCAGCAAGACCTCGATAAAATTTGAGAAGCGTCAACTATATGGCAGATGAGCTTTGATCTAGATAAATGTAAATTAATGTACTTGGGAGTTCCGAACATGCATGCTGAATAGACCTTAGTCAGGGTTTCACTGGGGAAAACAGAGATGAGAAGGATCCTGGGGCCCTTATAGACCACAGACACAGTAATAGCATGCAGTGCCAAGCTGCAACTAATAAAGCAAATAGTATATTATCTCGCATGAAAAGGAGGGATTAATTCATGGGATGGGCAAAATTATATTTCTCTTTACAACTTAGAAAAAAGGTGCTTAAGAGGCGACAACTCATCAGTGGAGACTGCGGTATTGGAAACGCACTACTTAAAGGAGAACTATGGGGTCAGTGTTTTTCCCCATAGTTCTCCTTGGGGTAACGGGAGGACACAAACTAGCGTCCTCCCGTTACCCTAAGCTCAGTATACCGTGAGCTACAGCTCGCGGTATACTGAGACGCCGCACCTGGAGCGGATCCCGACTTAGATGACGGGATCCGCCCAGCTGCGTGAGTGACAGCTGGCTCTGCCTATCTAGAGGCAGAGCCAGCTGTACCCTCCCCCGTCCGTTCCGTCAGTCAGCGCTGGCAGATCGGAGCGGGGAGAGGGGAATCCAGCCCCTCCCCCTGTCACGGCAGATAGCCGTGACAGGATCGAGAGGTGAGGGAACCCGGTATGTTTTCCCTCACCTCCCGATCTACTGAGCCGACCTGTGACAGTCTCATTGTCACAGGTCGGCTTAGAACTATGACGTGAGTGGAAATCACTCATGTCATAGTTCTCCTTTAAGCTAAGTACAGTGAGGAAGACACGAGGGCACAATAAGAAGTTGGAGGGGAGGAGGTATAATCGTAAACTGCATATACTTAAACTGCATTTTACTTTGAGAGTGGTAAAGATGGGGAATTCACTTCCACCGATAGCTGTATCAGCGGGAAACATAAACTGCTCCAAAAAACACTTGGATGAGTTCCTCAAATACCAAAACATACAGGGTTATTGAAATTCTGAGGATCATTCATACACATACACACAAAAAACCATATAGGTTGAACCTGATGGGCCTGTGTCTTTATTTAACCTCACCTACTATGTAACAATGGGTCTGTAAAATTTCTGGACCCGCACATGCGCAGTAGCATGTGAGATTTCTGGACTCCCTTCACATGCCCCCGAAAGTCCAGAAATCTCACGGGTCTGGAGAAGTGATAGAACGCTGGCAGCCAATTACCTCGTAAGCATTAATGGAAGAATCTCAAATATATTTTCTTATTTCAGCCAGCAGGTTGAACGAAGCAAATATTACAATATATGACCAGCTTTAGTATTTAGCCAAAACAAAGTCACATAGAGTGCTAAGCAGCCAAGAGTCAGCTGACCGGTCCTGCCGTATCACTTAGCCACAGACCAGAGCACCAATACAACCTTATTTATTCCTTTGGTGCTAATGGACTAAACAATTTTAGCCACATTGTTATCTGGAATTGCTTCATCTTTTAATGCAGTGAGAATAGGATGGCATTGCACCAATCAGAGGATTTGTGGATTGCCCAAATTCATTACAGATCAACAGGACACAGTCCAGGCATTGGACATTCCTCCAAGCAGGCTGGAAATAGACTGAATCCAGAGAGCCTTTGAGTTCCATAGATAGACCATCAAGGGATATTGCGGTTAAATTTCATTTCTACAAGACTAAAGAATGTATACTTCAGCAGCATGTAGCAAAGATACATTTTTCCTATAGGAACATAAATACTAGCTATTTGCTGATTTAGCAGAGTCTACCATACTCACATGTAAAGCACTTAAACCCTACCTAACTGTCCTCTATCCACATATTTGTTATAGGTGGAGGATTCCCTTTAAAATCATCTACTTTAATCTGAATTGCCATCTCCAAGCCTTCACATGGTCACAACTCTATGATTGCTTCCGGGACTTGGGCCTTGACCTTCACCTGGATACTGACCAGTCGCTACAATCGAGCTCCACATAAAAAAAAAAAATTGGATCACCACCTAAAACCCATCCTAAAAGGCAAGCATGACCAAACTCAATGCTTGCAAGGAGTGTTTTCTTTCCCATCTGAAGGACGAGTATACTAGTTCTATACCTTTTTTCATTTGAATAATTTCTGAACTTTCCTCTTGGGAAGATTGACGTTGCTCTACTGGAGGTGGCATTCTTCACTAGCCATAAAAACGCTTTGCAACGTTTTAAGCAAAGATGTCTGTTTACACATCGTTCTATTCTATTCTCCCTATATTGCTGGTTCTTACTTACTCTTGCTTTCAGGAAGTGGTGTTGTGGCTAGCACTCCTGCTTTGCAGAACTCAGGATCCCCGGCTCAAATCCCAGTCAGGACACTATCTGTAAGGAGATTGCATGTTCTCCCTGTGCTTGCGTGGGTTTTCTCCGGGTATTCCGGTTTCCTACCACACTCCAAAGACATGCTGGAAGGTTAATTGGCTCCAAATTGTCCCTGTATGTATGCATGTAAGATAGAGACCTTAGATTGTAAGCTCCTTGAGGGCAGGGACTTATGTGAATGTGCACTGCAAGCCCTGCGTAAAATTGCCGGCTCTATATAAATACCTGTAATAAAATAAATACATTGGAAATTTCCAGTCCCTAACATGGAGACTCTGACTAGATTGCACTGACCACATAAGTACTCGCCTCTAGATCTGGATCTGGAAGGCATCCTCAGATATCCTTCTTTTCTATGCAACAATCTATGTGTTCATCTTACTGCTACCCATTATGACTTCTCCATTTAACAATCCCAGGATACACTTTTTCTGAATGGTACAATACGAGGCAATCAGATAATAACTGGGCTGATTATATTCTTGTAGCTTGAAAGAGTTAAAAGAGAACTATGGAGTAACCTTTTTATCCCTTAGTTCCCTTTAGGGTCCTGGAGAGCATATACTAACCTACTCCTGTGACCCAAAGCTCAGCTCGCTATATACTGAGAGCGTTGCAGCCGGGACGGATCCTGACAATACTGTCAAGATCCACCCAGCTGGCTGATTGACAGCAGCCTCTGCATATCGAGAGGCAGAGCCAGCTGTGCTCACCCCCTGCCCCGTCTGTTCCTCCAGTCAGAGCTGAAGGATCGGAGGGGGAGCGGTGACTGACAAGTGAGCGAGCGACGTTATGTGTTCGCTCACTTCCTGATCTATAGAGTCGACATGTGACAGTTTCAATCTCACACGTCGGCTCTAAGTATGAGGATGAGTGTAAATCACTCATCCTTTAGTTCTCCTTTAATTGGTCACATCAGAGGTTGCTTATATTTTGGACTTTGAGTTTAAAATTTCAAATTCTACGGAAGCTCAATCTTCTGAGTTAATTATCTGATCTTGTTCATGCCATTTTTTGGGGTCTTTGGCCCTACACCTAGTATCGGTGCATCCCTAGTATAATGCATAAACTTTTTGGAGAACCTGTTGACTTTCATCGGCACATTTGAGTTTTTACATACGCTCAAAATACCTTTCCGCGATACCGGAACTTCTGGTCAGAGGGAGATCTCCTCTGACCAGCAGTTCTCTGACCGGCAGTGCCATAGTGGAACATGGACCCGGCTTCCCGGCCAATCAGGAAGCCGGGTGGCGAGTAATAACCAGCCCCCCAGCTTCCTGATTGGCCGGGAAGCCGGCTCTTGCTGATTGGCTGGGAAGCCGGCTTACCGGCCAATCACAATCGAGCTGGCTAAACAACATGGAGCCATCTTCCCGGACAATCAGGAAGCCGGGTGACATGTTATTACCCGCTGCCCGGCTTCCTGATAGCCCGGGAAGCCGGCTTCATGCCAGTGGAAGCACAGGTATCGGTACTCGGTTTTGGCGTACCCGATACCGAAAACCCGGTATCGGTGCATCCCCACTTTATACATTTTATCACTTAATTTCCCATGCTGTCCTTAACATAAATTCCAGGTATTTTGAGACTTTTTGGTCTTATGGTATTAAAAAAAGCTTTTACCTGTTTATTTGTCTGGCATCTTCAATTTCAAGAGGTCTGGAATCTTCATCTTCTGTCCTAAGCTGAGAGATATGAAAGGCATAACTCAGGAATATTCCTTCTGTTTGTTGACTCACCTCCTCTTCTGTAAGAGAGTAAAAAAAAAAAATCCCACATTTTCAAATATTATATGAAAGCTGTAGTATCTTGGTAAAATTGAAGGAGGTTTTCCACCATCAGTATGATGGAACCACAAGCAACAACACCATTTACTACTGCACATAATAAATTGGCATCCTACTTTGTATCTTTATTTACAGGTGGCTTACCTTCTGCTTCTAGTACAGCTGCGTTATCTGTTGTATCTTCTCTGCCTCCAGTTGCCATGATTGATAGACAGAGGGGTCAGTGTGATCCTACAATGAAAAAAATAGCAATTCATTTTCTGAAATACACTTATCTTTCTGACAGCAAGTAAAAAATATTAAAGCAAATATATGAGGCTAAATACATGACATCAGTTATTGCTGATTTGGTTTTAAAGGTAATATGGCTTAAATAAAAAAAAACAAAATACTACACATGTATAACTACATGTGTGTATTGGGCTCAGCTTGCTTTAGGACTCCAAAGTAGAGCCCAATCATATGACCCGTCAATATCATGACCAGCATCTCTTCTTATCATGGAGTTCAGAGAGAACTCCCTAGGACACCTGCCATACCATGGCAAAGAATAGTACGTGAAATGCAGGCTGCAGTATGGAGTAACATTGCAGTGTCTAGCAAAGAGCAGATGGAGGTATCTTTTTTCTGCTATAAATAGGAGCAGATTTATAAGGGAGGGAAGAGACCGCTATCCAAACTTTGCTATACTCATACATCACAATGTAAGTCCACACACAGGCCTGCATTTCACACTTTCCTGAATGCTGGCATGTAGTGGCGTAACTACAGCCATATCGACCCACGTAGTCGCTATAGGGCCCGGGAAGTGGGGGGCCTGGTCAGGAGGCAGCAGTGGAGGAGGAGGCCGGGGCCCGGTGACAGTGCCCCCATGTGCTTACGAGCCCCCATGTGATAGCAAATTGTCAGTGACAGGTCCTCTTTAACATGATATTGGGGTCCAAAAGACCCCTAATATCACCTTTCAACTTTAAATAAGCTATTGAAGTGCAAATCGCTTCAGGAGCCGAGCAATGACAGCTCAGGGACCAGAAGTGATGCAATCCGCGTCGATCCTGGTCCCATAGAATGGGGGGAGAAAGGCGAGCGGATATTCGCTGCTCTCCTCCCCAGCTTTCTGCCGGCACCCGACATGCCAGTCCCAGGCCCGCAGGACGGGCAACTGACCCTGGAAAACACAGCAGGGGCAGGCACTTTACCGGGCCATAGAAATGATCTGGCGGCAGCCGAGCCCCAGAATCGCTTCTATAGTAAAGCCGACAGCCGGCTTTACAAAGGTAAAGAGTCCCGGCGGCGTCTGTTTACAGGGCCTTGCTGCCACCGATGTACTAGGTACGTCCGCGGTCGTGAACTTTAAACTTTAATCCTGCAAATAACACACATTTTGTCCCTGAACCTTAAACATGTCTGCCTTTGTTCAACTCTATTACATGGGGGATGGGAAGAAACATAACATTGTTTTATGCTTTCAGTTTAGCTCCCAGGAAGTGAAACTGTGAATCTGGTAAGGTCAGATATTTGCTGTTTGCGGAAAATGTTCTGAAAAAAAGAAAAACAAATAATGCCAATGTCCGAAGGCTTACTTATCCTTTCATGCTATGATCTTTTAAATGTTCGCTGAATACAACAAACGGTCTTGATTAGCTGTAGTGGAGGGCATCGTAGTGCAACATATCTATGAGCATAAGTGATATTGACCTTTTAGCACGATAATACCAAGCATCATTAGACTATGTCTGGAAGAGCCATTATTGTGAGAGCACACCAGGCTAGACATACTTAAGGACTGAAGTAATGCAGGTCCGGAATGACATTCCTCTAGAAGCCATCACACAACTTGTAATTCAATGCCCAATACAATAAAATAATTTATTAGTAGAAATCGAGGCCATACCATTTAACTGTTTTTACTGAGAAAAATGAACAAAACAGCATTTTATTATTTCATAGCATAAATAAAACACACTGCCTGGCCACCACTTGGATTTAGCTCAGCAAATAGGTACAAGCCTGCCATTGGATAATTACTAGGTTCAGCTACATTATGGGCCCACAAAATGAGGTCAGCTGCCTACCTGAATGAGCAGGTTTTTCCATCAATTGATTTTTTTCTTCCCTGATGGCACAGACATATTGCAAGATGACAATGCCAGGATTCATCAGGTTTAAATTGTGAAAGAGTGATTCAGGGAGCATGAGACATCATTTTCACACATGGATTGGCCACCACATTGAGAATCCTGGGATGTGCTGGAGAAGACTACGCAGTGGTCCCACTCTCCCATCATAACTACAGGATTTTGATGAAAATTTAATGCAACTCTGGATGGAAATAAATGTTGTTACATTGCATAAGCTTATTGAATGTGTGTTATAATCAAAGCTAAACCTGATGAAATATTAGAGTGTGTGATTAATTATTTTGGAGGGGCCAGGCAGTGTATGCATTTTACATCTTATAAAGAGGGGAATGGATTAGATTCATTTAGTAAACCCTTTGTACCACTCACAGTTAAATCATAACTATTTTATTAGATGCTTTAGGTATTAATAGGATCTATTTTTTTTAGGGCTGGGGAAATGAACGATTAATTCCTCGATTAACCGTTAAACTTTTTGATCAATATAAAATTCTTTTGATCGAAAATAAAAAGACACCTCTCTGCCGGCTTTCGGGAGTCCCGTCAGAGATCCGGTGACGTCACAGACATCGAAGTCAACTGACTCCTCCCCCCTTCCCCAAGTGGCTCCGTTGGCTAACGAAGGGAAGGAGGAGGAGTCCGGTGACGTCAATGTCGATGACGTCACCGGACTCCTACCCCCTCCCCTTCGTTAGCCGACGGAGCCACTTGGGCCGGTGAGTTTGCCCAACAAGCAACAAGCTCCTGTCTTATCTTAATTTATATATATGCACTATGTGGCTCTCCATTAACCCCCCCCACCTCGCTCCCAGAAAAGTGCCCATTGAAATTAACTGATATTATGTTGCAATCAGGTCCTTACATGAAATGGAATGGACAGGTGCTGCTACTTCAAATATTAAGCTAATACTTATGTTTAAATCACCCTTAGGGTTTTGCTGTTTTACTATACTATATAAATACATTTGTAATCCAGCACATTTGTATCCAGAAAATATTCCCCTCCCTCATCGAAACTTTGAAATATTCTGATTTTGCAACAAACATCTCGGATTCATACAGTAACGATCTTGTTCTGTAACTTTGTTTTGCAATCTGAATATTGTAACTGTAGGCAGATCTCAATTGTTTGCGTTACTGGGAACACAGAATGATGTAGAGCAAATTTGCATCGGTTTAGTTGGCGACGAGTGTCGCAGATCTTGCTCAAAGTTTGCAAAAGTCTATGCAGCGAAAATATTATTTATTTCTATCCATTTGTAGGGCTAATAAGCAAGCTATGTTATAAAGGCAAGGGAAGCCAGGCACTGCAACGGGTGACATGTTCCCATCCAAAAAAACATCTTTCCCTACACATAATTGTCAACTTTCCCTAGCAGCACCAACACACGGTGACAATATGGCTGATGAAACAAGGTCTATGCACTGCATTCTAGATTCTTCCTTATTTCTTCCAGCAAACTTCAATGTTTTTGGGCAAAATGTTTTGATTTGCAAACTTTGAGAATCCCGGGGCAATCCCCACGAACCCATAGTAGTGGCAAACTCAAACTTCATCCCTACCTTGATTATATCTTTCCATATGCATTACTTGTTGCTAGCTTAAAAAGAGAACTATTGAGGTGAGTGATTTTCACTCATCCTCATAGTTAGAGCCGACGTGTGACAATGAAACTGTCACGTGTTGATAGGGAAGTGAGTGAACACTTACCGTCGCTCGCTCACTTCCCGATCCTCTCCCTGCAGAGAGGTGACTCTCAGTCAGGGCTCACCACAGGGATTCCCCCCTCCCCGATCCTCCAGCCCTGAGTGGAGGAAAGAATGGGGAAGGTGGTGGGCACAGCTGGCTCTGCCTGTACATAGGTAGAGCCAGCTGTCAATCAGCTAGCTGGGTGGATCTCGACAGTATTGTCAAGATTCGCCCCGGCTGCAACACTCTCAGCATATAGCGAGCTGTAGCTCGCTATATACTAGGCTTTGGGTCACGGGGGGACGTTAGTATATGTCCTCCCGTGACCCTTGAGAGAACTATGGGATACAAAGTTTACCCCATAGTTCTCTTTTAAGACTAAAGAATGGGTGGGGAATGTACAAAACTATTGCCATTAAGTAATTTGATGCATTCACTGCACTGCACTGTGCTTTGACACCGGCTTCTTCCACAAGCGCGGATTTCACATTTTCTATATTCACTGCACTGTTTCTTTCGAAAGAGGTTTTTTTTTTTTCTTTAATTATTATTGAATTATATAGCACCAACAGTTTGCACAACACTTTACAAAATAAAAAAGAGACAGTACAGTTACAATACAATTCCATACAAGGGGATTAGGAGGGTCCTGTTCATTACACTCTAATTATGATTGCACGCTCGAACCCCACTTGGATGGGTATAGAGAGAGAGGAAATCAGCCTATGGTTAAATGCATAAATACTTTTAGTTGAGAGCACAGGAAACTATAAGTCTTTATTATTGAGACAACATTACATTTAAAAGGTATGTGAAACTTTTTACAATGTTTCCATTAGCAGCGATTCTCAGAATCTATTGTAATTGATTTTTGCAATAGCCGAGTTCCGTTCGCAATCCATCTCAGTTCTCCAGCAGCCACAATGCAAATGGATATAATGACAAATCCATTATATCTGGAATCCCCATAGAAATGCATTTTTAACACACAATAAAATTATTGACATGCACGGGCAAGCATGCTACCTTTAGTTATCGCTGTTGTTAGAAAGTAGATAAACCTGTTCTCTTGTAGCACTACATGATATACTTTTTTCATACACACGATGGGACATACCATTCTGTGCAATAATAAAAACCTTTGCAAAAAGCACTATAGTCCCTGTTTGAATGATTCAGGCTTGCAATGCAGATAACTGTTTTACCTGCTGATCTGTCAGCTCCACTTTTGAAACTTGAGTGAAAACGTGGTTTAAAAAAAATGTATATATTTTTGCCATTACCATGACCCACAACCAATATAAAAAAATAAATTCCCCTACTCCTGATGTGCAAGGGAATAACATGTGTGTTCATAATCATTATGGGGCTGAGGTATAAAATTTCCACCCAGCATATAT